TAATAATAACCACACACACACACACACAAACACACACTGTAAAATACTCTATTTTTGAAAAACACCTCAGGCGTGCTTCTTGGGTAGTGAATGGATCCAGAAATAAGAATTTTCCTCCGCCCGTTTACAATAATGGCCTTTGAGTCGTAGGAAACAGAAGCTTCTCCACAAGAAACCCATGAGCAGAACAAAACCACCACCACGACCAAAAATGCATTGCACATTGCTGCTATATTCAATCCCATAATGCCAAAATATCAAAAAATAAATATAAAATTTTGAATGCCAAGATCTTTTCTTTATCCCTTTTCCCTCTTCTTTTTCTGGGTAATAGTTTACCTCCTCCAAGAAAATGTACTACACGCTTTGATTCTTTTCTTTCCTTTTTCCCTTACACCCGCTTTATTCTATACTTATTCAAGCAAGAAAAAGAAAAATGGGAGCAAAAAGGCGCTAGCTTTAAACAACAGAGTCCATGAAAATTAAGGCAGACAGCTGTTAAGCCTTGTCTTGGAGAGCATAGTAATAGCTAATAATTTGTATGTGGGGAGCTGCGCACGCAGTGAGCGTGTTTGTGCGTGAATTTTGAGCTTCGTTTATAGTAAATGTTGTTTTTAAGGGGAGATGCAAAGAATTGGTGCTCTTTAGCTGGTTTTTATAACCACAAAAAAAGTAGAGGGCTGTGTGAAGGTGAATTTAGTGGGCCCTTTTCTTGACTTTTTTGCCCCAACGAAAATGGGACCCGCTTTTGGCCTTTGTGCAATTTTTAGATCCACCCAATAATTTTATTTTAATATTTAAGAAATAATGGGTTTATCCGTTTTTATTGTTTTAGATAATGGAATGAGTGCAATCAGGTTCTGATTCGGTTATTTTAGATTAAAAAAAAATAAAAAAATAAAAAAAATTGAATTCGATTATTGTCGATTTTCTTATATATTGTGGTGTGATTTGGTTATGTTTTTCTCACAAGGTTAGTTTTATTTTGGTTTTATGTATATTGTGGTACGGTTGGATTTAAACATGTTTTTACTTTTTACAAATTCGAGTCCAACAGTGCAATTTGGTACAGTGCGATTTAGTATTTTCATTATAAAAATTTTCCATAGTTTAAGCATATTGATTTGCCTTTTTATGTATTGCCGCCCGGTTTGATTATTTCTTTTTTTCTTTTACAAATTT